TCATTTGTGAATACATACACACAAAATTGTAGTTAAATAGTTGTTTCTATTTTAAAAGCACCACCAAAGATGGCTAGTTAAAGATGGATACCGTGAGGCAACCCACTTGGGTCCCCTTTCACGCTGTGGAAGCTTTGTTCTTTTGCTCTTCACAATAAACCTTGCTATCGCTCAAAAAAAAAAAAAAAAAAAAAAGATGGATACCATGATAATTATATGGCAATCATATTTCTCATTCTCATTCTTTTATTCATTATTTAAAATCAAATAACATTAATAACATACTTCAAAAAGTTTACACTTATCCTACTTCCATTGTCTGTCATCCTGAAAAAAAAATGCTGAGAGATGATGATAATAAAACATGTTTATTCTTCCATGGAATGTGTAAATTGAAACCAAATATGTAGAACCCACATTTAATAGGAGTAATTCAACACAATAACTATCCGTTAGTAGTCACTGAATGTCACATAGATAAGACAATGTTTTAGGCACTATTTTTTAAAAAGACAAAAAATTTACCCAGAAATAATAACGAGGTACACTAATTTTTTTATACCTTAAAATTTTGTTTTCATTTATTTTCTACCATGATTATGTGCAGTAAGTGAACTAGACTGTGTAATGATTGAAATAGATTGTCACAGCTCATCACTCACGCGTCTACTTGCATCAGTCGTTAGCAGTATAGAAACACCAGGTCATGCAGCAGTCCATTAAGGTTCAGGAGATTAGTTTGTTATTTTAAGATCAAGTGAAGATCAGTAGCTCAGGAAGATTTGGTGAAAACATTCAGAGTTGAGAAAGATTCTGAAGCAGAGATGGCTATTTATCAGCTGTGAAATTTCCAAGAGTTAGCTTCTGGTTCGGATTGTATCCTACCATTTTAAAATACAAAGAATCTAAGATTAAAGCCTTTATAGGCTGGGCGCAGGGTGACTCATGCCTGTCATCCGAGCACCTTGGGAGACTGGGGTGGGAGGATGGCTTGAGGCCAGGAGTTTGAGGCTCCTATGACCTATCACTGTGCCACTGCACTCCAGCCTAGGAGAGGGAACAAGACCCTCTCTCTAAAAAACAAACAAACAAACAATAAAACCTTTATAGTCTTTCAGTTTTTTCTTTTTTCAGCTCCCCATGCTGAAAGAGGATCTTTCTGTTTTTTCTTAAAGAAAGATTACATGTTTCTTTTGCATTTCCAAGTGAAATCTTTTAGGTAGTTACCGAGAAGCAAATAAGTTAGTTTTTGAATGGGTCTTTAGTCTTGCGAGTTCTTCTGTGTGAGACCTAAGGAAATTATTCTTTCTTTCTTTCTTTTTTTTTTTTTGAGACAGTCTTGCAGTCTTGCTCTGTCACCCAGGCTGTAGCGCAGTGGCTTGATCTCGGCTCACTGCAAGCTCCGCCTCCCGGGTTCACGCCATTCTCCTGCCTCAGTCTCCCGAGTAGCTGGGACTACAGGTGCCTGCCACCATGCCCAGCTAATTTTTTTCTTTTTCTTTTTCTTTTTTTTTTCTGTATTTTTGGTAGAGACGGCGTTTCACTGTGTTAGCCAGGATGGTCTCGATCTCCTGACCTCGTGATCCGCCCGCCTCGGCCTCCCAAAGTTCTGGGATTACAGGTGTGAGCTACCGCACCCGGCCAGGAAATTATTCAAATACAGTGCACTCTTTAAAGCTGCTTTGAAAGCTTTGTTCTTAACTGAACCAAGGGCAGTATAAAATCTGACAAAAATACTCTTAAAATGATTTTATTAATCCATAGATTCATTCTTTTAATGACGTAAAGTTGGATAAAAAGACTTTGTTCTGATAAAGTTATCTTAACAATAATATAAAAGACTGTTTTGGTTGCCACACAAAAAAAATACGGAATGCTTTAGGTTTTTGGAAATCTAGAATAAACTCTCAAGTTTCCAGGCTCAGGAAATCTTGTTTGCCACTATTATGCATATAAAGGCCACATTAAAAAACATTCTGATTAAACATTTTGGCTTATACTTACTATCACATCACTACATGAACTGGGAGTGTGAATGCAGCTCAAGGTGAGCAGTTTCCATCAGGGACAAGTTTACGATAAGAATTGGACTGTTTTCATTTCTTTAAAAAAAAAATCACATTTACAGCCAGGCGCCGGTGGCTCACATCTGTAATCCCAGCACTTTGGGAGGCCGAGGCAGGTGGATCACTTGAGGTCAGGAGTTGGAGACCAGCTTGGCCAACATGGTGAAACCCTGTCTCTACTCAAAATACAAAAATTAGGCCGGGCGCAGTGGCTCACACCTGTAATCCCAGCACTTTGGGAGGCTGAGGCAGGTGGATCACTTAAGGTCTGGAGTTCACGACCAGCCTGACCAACATGGAGAAACCCCATCTCTACGAGAAAAAAAAAAAAAAAAGAAAAAAAATTAGTCTGGCATGGTGGCGCATGCCTGTAATCTGAGCTACTTGGTAGGCTGAGGCAGGAGAATTGCTTGAACCCGGTAGGCAAATGTTGCGGTGAGCCAAGATCGCACTATTGTACTCCAGCCTGAGCAACAAGAGCGAAACTCCGTCTCAAAAATAATAATAATAATAATCAGCTGGATGTGGTGGTGCACGCCTGTAATCCTAGCTGCTCAGGAGGCTGAGGCAGGAGAATTGTTTGAACCCAGGAGGCGGAGGTTGCAGTGAGCTGAGTTCACGCCACTGCACTCCAGCCTGGGAGACAGAACCAGACTCTGTCTCAAAAAATCAAAACCCACATTTACTTAAACTATTTAGTAATTAGCTACATCATTTACTGGTTTTAAATTTTAAATAAAGTAACTTTAATATAAAATAAAGGATATTTGATTTCTAAGAAACTTGGTAAAAGCATTTTGCCTGGAGCAAATATTTTTACTATTTTGGCATTGTTATCCATATTCTCTATAATGATGTGTAAGAAAATAGGTCAGCTATTATATATATATATATATATAAATAAATGGATAAAGATAACTGGCTAAGGTTAGACAGATGTTTGGCAATCTTGTACAAGCACTCAGAGTTTTGCAGTGATCGTTGTTCACTTTACTATTGTTTTACCATAAATAGCTCCTCTATAATATGAAAATTATTTAACCCTATTTTAGTATTTTGTGGATTCAGTTAGAACACATTTCCCCTTTTCTTGACATCCTCTCCCTCCCTCTCCCTCCCTCCACCCAATACACACACACTAAGCATAGCGTGGTGAATAAGGTGCTAGGAGATGAGTTCTAGGCTTCCTTCTGTTCATGCCTTGAATTTTGGACCCTGCCTTCCTGTTTTTATTCTAGTTCTTTAGCTCTGTTTTAAATCTTGGAACACATGATATCCTTCAGCCCAAATATTAGTCCCTCCCGACATTAGTATTATAAAGGGCATCCACTGAAATTTAAATCACATTTTACGTTTTAGCTATTTAACTTTAGAAGTAGGCACAGGTGACTGTACTTTCAGCTGCTGTTAGATTTTCAGTGTTTGGGTTTATGCCATTTTGGACCGATGGGAAATTGTCATATAAGATTGAAAACTGTAATAGTAAAATGGACTACTTCACATTTTGGGGGACAAGTATTTTCTCATTTGGTTAATTATGGTTTGAAGTCATGTGAAATTAACTTAAGGATATCAAGAAAATGCTGACAATATAAATAGTGATACCTTATATAGTTATAATTTATATTCTCTCCATAAGCACAATTAAAAATACATGAACTCAGAAAATGTACAAGTATTTGAAACGACAATTAAACATCTATTTCAAAGATGCACAAAAAGTACAAACGTGACTTTTGATTGGGTTAAGACTGCAGGAACGTCCCTCTCTATTATTTCCACTTCGCGGGAACAATAGCTCAAGGGTAAAAAAAACAGAGGAAGCTGGCGCGGGGGCTCATGCCTGTAATTCCAGCACTTTGTGAAGCCGAGGCGGAGGGATCGCTTGTGCCCTGGAGTACGAGACCTATACTCTGGGCAACACAGGGAGACCCTTCTCTACAAAAAATAAAAAATTAGCCAGGCGTGGTGGCGTGTACCTGTGGTCCCAGCTAGCAGGAGGCTAAAGTGGGAGGCTCGCTCGAGACTGGGAGGTCCAGGATGCAGTGAGCTGTGATCATGCCACTGCACTCCACCCTGGTCAACAGAACGAGATCCCTCCCTCTCCTCCCCTCCCCCCCCACAAAATAAGCTAGAGGATATGCATCAATCAAGAATTCCTACGGGTCCACGAAAACACACATCTTTTTCTACTCCCTCTGTATAGGAATGAAAGGAAAAATTATGAGAAAACAAAATTCTCACCCGTTGCAAATATAATAGTATGCCCATGAGCAGCATATCATTCTCAAATCTGTAAAATGCTTACTCTATTTACAAAGTGTTTGTTGCATGATTCACTAGATTCTCAAAATAATTTTCCATGAAACACACTAATGGGTTATTAGCCTAATTTTACAGATAAGAAAAATGGTGCTTAGAGAGGTCAAGTGACTTACTCATGGTTAGATATTGGTAACCAAGTTTTCTGATTTCTTATCAAATATTCTTTCTACTATGCCACTTTGGTTTTCAAACAAATGAAGCAATTAAAGGTTAAGAGTAAAAATTTTATGACTCCAAAAAACTTCACTTGGTACTCTTTTGTGATTAAGAAGTGTACAGGACAGAATAGAAATGTACATTATAAAATATTTGACACTATGATCAAAATATCCCTTCCAGGAGAGTTTAATCAATAAGTTAAAAGTTAGGAAACTCAAAAGTCATTTTACTGTCTTAATTGATTATTCTATCTTCACTTGTACTGATGAGATTGTAAAATGCAATTTGAAGGCTAAATATATCAAACATCTAACCAATTTTCCTTGCCCAGAAAAATCTTTTCTGCATTCTTTTCATATTGGAAATGAGGAAATTTGGAAATTTACTTGGACAAAAATGCTATTATTAAAAACATTCTATGTTTACCTATATTAATAATTTTGACAATAGTTCAAGGCAAATTGCATTTACTTTCTTTGAAAATGTCAATACATAAATAAATTTAGTTTTTCTTGTCTAAATATGAACAGTACACTGTAACAGCAAAACATTTGCTGCTGATAGGCCGGGCGCAGCAGCACTTTGGAGGCTGAGGTGGGCGAATTGCTTGAGGCCAGGAGTTGAAGACCAGCCTGGGGAACATGGAAAAATCCCATGTCTACTAAAAATACAAAAATTAGCCGGGCATGGTGGTGCACATCTGCAGTTCCAGCTACTCAGGAGGCTGAGGTAAGGTACTGACAATCACCTGAACCCAGGAAGCAGAGGTTGCAGGGAGCCAAGATTGCCCCACTGCACTCCAGCTTGGGTGACAAAACAAGATCCTGTCTCAAAAAAAAAAAAAAAAAAAAAAATCAACATTTCAAACATTTGGTGAGCGGTCCTCTGTTTTTAATTTTACAAATATTTGCTTAAAATAGTTTGCTTGGATCCTTTAGATATATTTGTAAAACATAATGCATTTTTAGAAGCAATAAATTAGAGAACAAAAATGAACATAAAACTTATTTTCTTGTGTTGAGGCAAAATTAAGGGAGGGCAAACATTTCCAGACAATGGGGAGAAAACCTGGTACCTTATACAAGGAACTGCTATTTACGTCCTAGTCGATACTTCTGAGATTGTTTATTCTGCAGGTGAACAGTGCATATTTAAATGCATTTTGCTATTCAATATTAATTAACTCAAGAGAATGTAATTCCTAATAAAATCGTTTCAATTGATTATATATTCACAAAAATCCATTTGAACTGTCAAGAAAAATGAGTAATATTGACATAGCTGGACACTAAGGTCAGCATATGCTAACGAAGTGAGAATGGAGGTACTTTCAAGAAAAAGGTTGTCTGCTTTGCTTGACAATTTAGCAAAATACCCAGTCTAGTAGTGTAACAAGTAAGCATAGCGCTCTGAATCAAACACCTTACAAAATAGTATTGGTGTGGGTTTGTAACCTTTTTAAATGCTTTTATTGCATCATTCTGCTGTTAATGTTGGTATTTATCCTGAAATGACAGCCAATCTGTTCCTGTGAGTTCTTCGGCACGTTTGAAGTCAGCAGAAGCACTCTTTCCTGGGCTTTACTGCTTCCTCAGAAGAATGCACAGTATTTGGAACAAAACCACTTTTAACCCCTTCCCAGCCATCCTGAATACAAATTTCTCCCTTTTTAATAAGTTCATATATGTCTCTTGTCAAGATGGTGAAGGATTCTTCAACATTAGTAGCATCCTTTGCTGAGGTTTCTATATACTTCATTCCACAGTCTGCTGACAGTTTTTCAGCTTCTTCCCTTGTAACTTGACGTTGTGAAGCTAAATCACATTTATGTCCCACTAGCAGAAATACAATCCGAAACGGCTGTACATACATTTTTGCTTCTTCTAGCCAGTCTTTCACATGTTCAAAAGATCGCCGGTTGGTAATGTCAAATACTAAAAATCCACCAACTGAGTTGCGGTAATAAGATCGGGTTATTGATCTGAAAAATAAACAGAAAAAAGGTTGTATAAGGACAACTTGTTCTTTTTCTTCTCCTTCCAACAATCTAGCACCATAATAACATTTGAAGATATCTTAATATGATTTAACTAGAATTTATAAATAAAATATGAGGTATCTCAAGTGAACAAAAATATTCTACAAGACTAATATGCAAGTTTCATACACTGACAGAACACGAAAGTAGCAGTTATTTTTAGATAGACAAATAAGCACTTACATGCTATGTCATCTCGTACTGTCTGATTGTTTTTGCTTTTAAAAATCTAATAGATTATTACATAGCTGTGGTTAAAAATAAGCATATTGAAAGATTGAGTGAAGGGCACAGGTTGCACAACAAACCAGATCTTAAGAATCTCATTCGTCATAAAATTTAATGAACTCGTCTTTCTATCAGTTTAGGAAAAAGCAACAAGGGCTGTAGTATGGATAGAACGTCTGTGTCCCTCTCAAATTCTTATGTTGAAATGCTAACCTTAATGTGGTGGTATTAGGATTAGGAGGTGAGGCCTTTGGGATGTAATTTAGGTCATGAGGGTGGAACCCTCATGAATGGGATCAGTGCCCTTAAAAAAAGATACCCCAGAGAAGGCCGGATGCGGTGGCTCACGCCTGTAATCCCAGCACTTTGGGAGGCCGAGGTGGGCGGATCACGAGGTCAGGAGATCGAGACCATCCTGACTAACACGTGAAACCCCGTCTCTACTAAAAATACACACACAAAAAAAATTAGCCGGGCGATGTGGCGGGCGCCTGTAGTCCCAGCTACTCAGGAGGCTGAGGCAGGAGAATGGCGTGAACCCGGGAGGCGGAGCTTGCAGTGAGCCGAGATCGTGCCACTGCACTTCAGCCTGGGTGACAGAGAGAGACTCCGCCTGGGCAACAGAGACTCTGTCTCAAAAAAAAAAAAAAAAAAAGGATACCCCAGAGAGCGCTCTAGTCCTCTTTCTTTCTACCATGTGAGGACACAAGATGGCTGTCTGCAACCCAGAAGAGGGCCCTCACTGGAACCTGACCATGCTGGCACCGTAATCTCCCTGATCATCCACTTCCAGCCTCCAAAATTGTGAGAACTAAATTTCTGTTGCTTAAATCCCCATTCTGTGGTAATTTGTTATAACAGCCCAAACTCACTAAGACAGCAGACTTGTCACAGTATTAGTTACAGGTACAGTCTTGTGTTACACCTTTTCAAGAAACAGGAGACTGTATGGACCTGGGATATGAATCCGAGGTGTGCTAGTGATTCTCTGTGTGCCTCTCCAGATCTGGTCTCCATGCTTCTCTATGCCTGAGGAAGCTGTCCTCCACAGAAAGCTTTCCCAAAGCCCCTTGCCCTCTGGCTTGCAGGGGGGTTCAGCCAATGGGAGGTGTCGGCTGGAGATGGAAGGAAAGAGAAGTCAGAGTATTTATCCCTCTCTTTGCTTCTGCTGGGCTGTGGTTTAGCAGTGGTGGTATTCCTCTGCTTCTAGTAAGGGTTTCTGTTGGGTAGACCCTTTCCCATGGCTACAGCAGTCACCATGCTCTGGTAATACCATTCTCTGTCCTCTCCTCTTCCAACCAGGTGGCTAATGGCTTCCCACTGTTGCTATCTCTGAGTGCTTCACCATCCTTTATGAGTGTCCTCGATGCTGACTCTATCTCTGGAAATAGTCACTTCATTAAACTCTTCTCGGTTAACCTACAATTGTGCCATCTATTTCCTGGCTGAATCATGAGGCAAGGTGGCAAGGCTATACTGTTTTATGTTTCTCGCCCCTCCACATGTTGTTTTATCTATCTGGAATGTCTTCTACCCCTTTACTGTCTAAGAAACTCCTATTTCTGCTTCAGTAGTCAGCTCAATAATCATACCATCTGAGCAGCCTTCCCTGCCACTCACCTCTCTCTTAGGTACTCTTCTTATGGTTCCTCTGAACCACTGGCATACTGCCATTATGATATGTTAATTTTCTCGATATGCTGACTGGATTTGCTGTTATGTCAATCATATTGCATGGCAAATGACAGATGTCATAAAATGTTTGTTATATTGGAGTTTTCTTTTTTTTTTTTTTTTTTGACCCAGGCTGGAGTGCCGTGGTGCGATCTCGGCTCACTGCAACCTTCACCTCCCGGGTTCAAGCGATTCTTCTGCCTCAGCCTCCCGAGTAGCTGGGACTACAGGCGCACGCCACCACCCCCAGCTAATTTTTGTATTTTCAGTAGAGAAGGGGTTTCACCATGTTGGCTAGGATGGTCTCGATCTCTTGACCTCGTGATCCACCTGCCTCAGCCTCCCAAAGTGCTGGGATTACAGGTGTGAGTCACTGCGCTCGGCCAATATTGGATTAATTCACCTAATTGGAGAGGGAAAGTGCTAAATGTTGTATAAGCCAGAGATCCCATGCGTCTGTTTCCAGTTTGTCAATGGTCTTTTAGCAAACTCATCTGACTACATGCCTGAGGCACCAAGATCTTTGTGAATGGCCAGTGGGTTATTTGGTACCGTCATACTTTCCTACTTGTCCTCATTGCTGAAATCACAGCTCAGTTCAGTGACCTGATGCCATAAATAGCTTTGTTGTGGGAGTGCAAACCATTTTACCTCCTCTTTTTTTCTATTTCTCCTGCTTCCCTGTTTCTCCTCAGAATTCTTAGTAGAGAGATTCCCAAGTGGCTATTTTTGAAAAACTTTTGTCAAGGACTATAGTATTATAGAGAAATTGAGTTTTTCACCAACCCGATGCTTAGACGCTAAAAATAAAAAAAAGAAAAGAACTTGACAATAAGAAAAAATCTCCCACCATCTTTGGCAGGCTATGAATAATGCAGTTGCTATATTTTAACTTTGAGGCATAACTAATTTGTTATTGTTTTGTCACTCATCTTTATATGTGTGAATTTAGGCAGATGTGCAGTGTCTTAAGAGAAATCTAATTATGGCTATGTTCTTAGACTGAAAGCTTGAATTTACTCAGCACCAAGTCTGCATAACTTTTTTCCCTCCTATCCATTTAATTTACCATTACTAGAATATTTAAAAAACGCTTTTTGTGGCTGAAAACTCAATGCTGAAATGCTTATATGTTACACAGAGGCATGTTTTACACTGTAGGAAATACTATGTTTTCTTTTCTTTTTTCTTTTTTTTTTTTTTGAGACAGAATTTTTGATCTGTTGCCCAGGCTGGAATGCAATGGCATGATCTCGGCTCACTGCAACCTCTGCCTCCTAGGTTCAAGCAATTTTCCTGCCTCAGCCTCCCGAGTAGCTGGAATTACAGGTGTCCGCCACCTTGCCCAGCTAATTTTTGTATTTTTAGTAGAGATGAGTTTTCACCATGTTGGCCAGACTGGTCTCGAACTCCTGACCTCAGGTGATCCACCAGCCTCAGCCTCCCAAAGTGCTAGGATTACAGGCATGAGCCACCACACCCGGCCAGGAAGTACTATCTTTTCAAAAACTTATCTTTATTTTCTTTTTAAAATAGGCAACCCTATTAAGTGATTGTATTTAATTTTGAAAACACATTTAGAATACACTTGGCAAACCATCCTACAGAATAAAATTATAGCAAAGTATATGTAATACACATGATAAAACAACCCTTATTAATAATTAGTTGGGAATAAAAGGACTCAGTGTAACTTCTGTCATTTCTATGCAGTAACCTGATTTCTAGTTTCTGTGTGTGGGTCTGTGGGGCTTCAGATTCGAATATAGTTGTTCTGTAGGTAGTGCTTTTCCTAAAACAATTGCGCGCTGCTGCTATCAATCATCTGGGGGAAGAAGCAGGCCTTCAGATGGAAAACTTGAACTGAAAGGCAGGTCTTTTAGAGGTGTGGAGGGAGCAGCTATCTTTCTCTTGACCTTCCTCCCGTAAGTTGAGTCACTTAGGTCTCTAGAAGTTCTTTTTTTTTTTTTTTTTTTGTTGAGACAGAGTCTTGCTTTGTCGCCCAGACTGCAGTGCAGTGGCCGGATCTCAGCTCACTGCAAGCTCCGCCTCCTGGGTTCATGCCATTCTCCTGCCTCAGCCTCCCGAGTAGCTGGGACTACAGGCGCCCGCCACCTCGCCCGGCTAGGTTTTTGTATTTTTTAGTAGAGACGGGGTTTCACCGTGTTAGCCAGGTTGGTCTCGATCTCCTGACCTTGTGATCCACCCGTCTTGGTCTCCCAAAGTGCTGGGATTACAGGCTTGAGCCACCGCACCCGGCCTCTAGAAGTTCTTGAAGGAATTATGAGAAGGTAGGGAACAGACACTAAAAGCACTAGGTAGGGAGGCCTCCCTGTAAGGAACTCAAGAGTTGAAGATGAATAACAATTCTTTTTAAGCAACAATATCTTGTAGTATGATTCTTTATATCTATTTCCCTCTAGGATTTGAAAGTCTCCCTGAATGGGCCTGGTGCAGTGGCTTTCACTTGAGTAATCCCAGCACTTTGGGAGGCCGAGGTCAGGAATTCGAGACCAACGTAGTGAACATAGTGAAACCCCCTCGCTACCAAAAATACAAAAATTAGCCAGTGTGGTGGCATGCTACCAAAAATACAAAAATTAGCCAGGCGTGGTGGCGTGCTACCAAAAATACAAAAATTAGCCAGCATGGTGGCGTGCTACCAAAAATACAAAAATTAGCCAGTGTGGTAGTGTGCTACCAAAAATACAAAAATTAACCAGGCGTGGTGGCACGTGGCTATAGTCCCAGCTACTCGGGAGGCTGAGACGGGACAATTGCTTGAACTCAGGAGGTGGAAGTTGCAGTGAGCTGAGATCATGCCACTGCACTCCAGCCTGGGCAACAGAGACTCTGTCTCAAAAAAAAAAAAAGAAAGAAAAAGAAAAAAAAGTCTCCCTGAATTAACGGATGATTTAAGGGAAGGCGAAAAATTGTGGGGTCGGGGAATGGAGGGAAGAAAAGAAGAACAGAAGCAAGGAAGGAAGAGAGAAATAAATGGCATGGATTCTAATCTGGTCTCTCGTGTTATGAGGGAATGA